AGAATTTATTCTTCTTCCTGCTCCTTTTCATGCATGGAAACAGTTTTACTTTAATTGAAAGGAAGGTTGTGTATGGGAAATGAATTACGGCTGTACCATGTGTGAAACAAAAAAAAACAACAAAAAACTGTTGGAAACACGATTGTAGGTCGAGTAGCAGAGTAGAGTATGTGGGTTGGACCTATGAGAAACTTGCTAAATCTTCTCTGCCAATGCCAAACTGCTTATTCTGCCATTAGCTCTTGTTTTGAGCTTCTGGAGACCGTCAGATGTCTGACTGGCGCCTGATTAGTTCAGCATTGAGTTCAGACTCTGCCTACGGCCACTGGATCATCAGAGTGTGGAGTGGACTGATAGAGTAACAGCTTTTAATGGAGGCAGCGTACTGCTGTGGGGTAGTATCTCCCTCACTGGAAATACAAGGCTTGTCATCACTGCAGGCGATCTCAGTTCAGAGAGATATCTAGATGAGATTCTGCAACGTCTATGATGTCTGGGACTCTATGCTCTACAGAGCCGGTTCATCAGAGGCTACCTCTGATAGGGGAGTGGAGAGGATGAAAAGGCCATTTAAGGGGAAATAAGCATTGCCAAGAAGCATTGTTACAACAAAGAAGTTGTATTTAAAGCGCTACATTTTAATGAGAATAAACATATGAAGTCATTTATGCTTCAGGTTGACCTGTTAAGTAAAGCTATGTGGAGCTTTTACATGTAAAAAGAGAAAGAAAGAGGCTGCTGGAGCTGCTGCAGAAAGGGGTTAAATGACATATTTTAGTGCTTATTAACGCATTATTTGAGCCTGGTTGTCATTTCTATTGACGTCACTTCTTCTTTTGTTCTTTTGCTGGTTTTGATTTGTTGCCTCAGTCCCGGGCCGTGTTGGATGTGTGGTTCTGTGCTCTGTAGGTTTGGATTTTGTGTGATTTGTGTGCTGTGGCTAATTTGTGTGTGTTGTTTTTTGGGGTTTTTTTTACAGTTGTGGTTAGTTTTTATTAAAATATGTGCATTTGCTTATTGTTGCTCTGTGACTGTACGGCTCGTGGCCTTGATGTTCGTGTGTTTTGAATCTCTTTTGTCGTAGAGGCTAGAAATACTTGTGATGTGAAAGTCCTCTGCAGTGCCTCCCACCACAGGCTCTCTCGGTTCTCTTTCCTCTGCCTGATTGTTTTTCCTCTTGGTCTGCCTCTTCTGTGCTCCAGATGAAGATACCCTCAAAGAAGATGGCCCACATTCCTGTGTACACTGTGGGCTTTCACAGCACTCCAAAGAGCCATGGACAAAAAAGCCAAGTCTACAAGTGAGTCTGTGTTTGTCTTCAATAGCTGAGTCTGTTTATTGTAGGGAAGATTATAAAGCTGGCTGAAAATAAAACGACAGTTTTCTTCTGAAGTATGCACTGAGGACCAGGAGAAAGATCAAAAGAAATGTGAAAAGCATACCTAACATACCTTCCTTTCCAAATCTAGCTGATGAGTTTCCTGTGGAGGCTGTGCCTGTTGCAGAGCTCTTAAAAAGGGGTGCAGTTTGCACCGTCGACAACCACTATCCCCTAAAATCTACATGAGAGGGGCATTTGGGAACGGCTATGATAGCCAAGCAGCAGAGCCCTGGCAGGGGCACACACCACCTCGATCTCTGCCAGAGAT